CCATACATATATATAAGCATGCTGACATCATGAATAAATGGATAAGGGGTTTACCAATAAGGAATTGTAGAAATTTCTAGAGATGTCAAACTGAGATATAATAAGGATGAAAATGTACTTGGTGTCTCTTAACTGAAATATTTTGGTCACATCATCACTACTGAAGCTATTAAAGATGAAGATCTGACCTGTTGAATTCATGCCACTTTTGCAGTGCAAGAAAAGCCTTCAAGGGGTGACCAATTAGTTGAACAAATCTATAGAAACTCTCTTCCCAAAAACACATTATACGTACAAAAAAATAATAAAATCTCTTACGAAAAACCACAGAATGTACCTGGAATTACGAAGTGGTCTTTCAGGATCACAGAACTTCATCTAATACTGTGGCCCCACCAGGTTCTGATAAGAAGCTCAATTTAGTTGAAATAAGACAAAAAAAAGGATGATACCTGTGGATATCTGATACAATCATACAGGAATGATAAAAAGTAAAACAAGATTGTTAACCACATGTTCAAAAAAGAGTTTATAGTAACAATAAGTACAAAAGGAGTAAGTTTGTGGAGCTTAAAGAAAGGTTTAGGATGAGCAGGTTCTCTTTTTGTCTTTACTCTTGATATTTGTCTGATGCATTGTATGCTCATAAGTTAGCTTTGGCTTTCCACACACTGAAGTGTGATGCGTATTTACCGTTTCTGTCCCACAGCATTGCTAATTCATTGAAAAGAAGCTCACAATGCTGAAATAACTTGGTGAATGGATACAAACTCATTTTTTTTTTAGTCTTTGGATAGCAAAAGAGTAAATATTTTATTGTCGGTATAAACGACAAGTCGTTTCTTTTAAAAATGCAAGTTAAACATAGCATAAAATCATTATAAGCATTGCAGAATTGTCATCTTGAATTCAAAAATAATAAGAAATGACATGTAGAAACATGCTAATTGTTTTCATACTGTCCAATCTGGACTCAGTTCCAGTCTACATGTTGATGAACTCTGAGGGACTGAAGTGACAGTAGAATTACATAGAAATTACAGCATGAAAGTAAGCTGCAGTCTGTATTAACTGGTCTGCATCAATGCACAAGTTCAAGCAGGTCTTCTTTGCTGTGCAGGACCTCCAACCATCAATATTTAGATTGACAATCTTTGTGCCTCTCCCTGGAAGGAACAAATCAAAGCATGCATTGGGGTCAAGAAAATTCTTGCGAGAAGAGTTGTGAAACCTGGCAACAATTCAAAATTTCTTTTAAAGCATGAAGACTTAGCAACTGATTGATGCTATATTTAGGATGAGACTTAAAATCAACTAGATGTGAACAATTGCATGGCTGCATTATGAAGAAGAGCAATGGATTTCTCTCCAGTGTCACAGCCAATAGTTTCATTTCAAATAATAATTCTACAAAGAGATTATCAGATCATTATCACATTTCTGTTTGTGGGGCTTGCTATTTGAAACTTGACCGTTCACCTTCTTACAACAGTGACTACATTTCACTGGCCCTGTTTGTTCCAATTTTTCTTTCTATCCTTAGCTTCATAGTGGTGGACACTACAAGATGACATCCAATCTGAGCTGTGATTTTTTTTTTATTTCTTGCCCTTCCAATCTGAATTACTGCTCTGTTTAAAGATTTAACTTTGTGATTTCACTTTGGTATTTTATATGTCTGTTCATTCCCTGTCTGAACTGGACATGGCACCACCCCTACAGATCACCATTTCTTGATGCATCCTGTACCTCTGCCTTAGGGCTGCAGATTGTTTCTGTTCCAACATTTATCAGGTCTCGAAAGTTTTCTGTCATTTTTCAGTGTTGCATGTTGCCACAAGATATGTTGGCTTTTGATGTTCTCAGCTATCAGCAATATCTGTTTTTCTTGACATTTTCTGGGTTGCCTGCATATTTGCCTTGTTGGGACTGTTGCTGCTCAGTTAGATCTTCAGATCCCACACTGATCACTATTTTGAGTTTGTTGCCATTGAAAGATGTAATTTCTTGCATGATTGAGACTATTTAGAAGTTATAAGAATAGACTCGGCGTTACCATGGAGATGTTTAAGAGGACATGGCCTGAGCTTTGTCTCGCCTGAAATCCTACTGTACTCTCCTATCATGTCCTCGTAACATCACTGTAGGAGGTATTTATTGCACTCAATCAAGTATTTACTACTTCACACACACATGCAACCGTTTATGTGCAAAATAGTGTTCAGTTTGCAGTGAAGATTAATTACGTGGAAATAATTTCTTAGGAGTAGTATTTTATATGTATCCTCCTCAATATAGACACAAATGAATGGTGCCTCAGCATACAGTAATACAGTTTTAAGTGGCCAACGGCACTTCCTGGAACATTTAATGGCTGAATTAATGTAGAGAATTTTAAAAATAGGAATCAGAATAGACTTGAACTTTGATTATTTTCGCGTAAGTTGCTTATGCCGCTGAAAATACAGGTACAGGCAAAATTCACAAATAAAAGAGCTGAAATGTCATCTGCTACACCAATTAAAGCAACAAAGTGAGTATCAAATTGTTTCAGTGACGTGGTGAAGGTGTCTTTGACAAGTTTGATCAATGTGGTCTCCCAAAAGGTTGCACAAATCATAATACACTTGGAAAATAAAAGCAATAAATTGCATGGAAGTATTTTTTTTCAGACGCCTAATGCTTACTGAAGTTTTCGGTATGAATGAGCCTTCATCCACAAAGATTTGAGTTCAGACAATTTGCTGAAGAATATGATTGCACCCCCCCAGCTTCAACTCCGAATTGCTCACAGTGAAATGAACTTGAACGGAGGTTGAAGTTGCCCACAGGAATCTGATAAAATCATAGGGTAGAGGAAATCATATGTGTGACTGCCTGCTGGTATACTGCAGGATTGTGAGAACCTGCTATCGTCAGTGCAAATGTTACTGACATGAATGTCTGAATGCTGGACCTCAGAAATCGAGGAGCAGCAAGAATGCAAAAGTGTGTACTGGATAAATTTCACAGTCCTTAGATTTTCACAGGCCCAAAATTCTCGAAGAATTTTGCTAAGATCCAGCCTAAGATGTTTTGCTTTAGTACTGTATCTGAAAATGGATTCCATTGAAGTAGATAGGAAGGAAGGAGAATAAGACCATAAACTATAGGAGCAGAATTAGGCCATTTGGCCCACTGAGGCTGCCCTACCGTTCAATCATGACTTATATGTTTCTCAACTCCATTCTCCTGTCTTCTCCCACAACCTCCGAATCCCTTACTAATGAAAAACCTATTTATTCCTGTCTTAAAGACACTCAATGACCTGGCCTCCACAGCCTTCTGCAGCAAAGTGTTCCACAGATTCACCATTCTCTGGCTGAAAAAAAATTCCTCTTCATCTCAGTTCTAAAAGGTCATCCCTTGACTCTGAGGCTATGCCCTCAGGTTCTAGTCTCTCCTACTAGTGGAAATATCTCCATGTCCATTCTCTCCAAGCCCTACAGTATTTTGTAATTTTCAGTGAGATCACCCCTCATCCTCTAAACTCCAAGTACAGACTCCGAGTCCTCAACTGCTCCCCATATGACAAGCCCTTCATGCTTGGGATTATTTTTGTAAACCTCCTCTGGACCCCCTCTAAAGCCAGCATATCCTTCCTTTGTTGTAATGCCTAAAACCCCTCATAACATTCAAAATACGGTCTGACTAGGCCCATATACAGCTTCAGCAGTACATCTCTGCTCTTGTATTCTAGATCTCTGAAAATGAATGCTAACATTGCATTTGCCTTCCTAACTGCCAACTGACTCTGTATCTTAACTTTAAGACAATCCTGAACTAGGACTCGTCAGTCTCTTTGTGCTTCAGATTAGTCTATGCCTCTTTTTTCCTGTCAAAAGGCATAACGTCCCATTCTCCCACATTGTATTCCATCTGCCACTTCTTTGCTCATTCTACTCAACTATTGAAGTCCCTCTGCCTGCTCACTGCTTCCTCAACACTACTTTTCCCTCCAACTATTTTTATGAAATCTACTTAGCAAAAATCCCCTCATTTCCTTTAGCCATATGGTTAATGTAAGATATTATATAGGATATGAATGCACTTTGTTATAAATTATTAAATACTTGCAATTAAAGAGGAAATTGGTCCATGATACTGATTAATCAACATAAATTCTTGCAATCCTGGAAACATCCATGACTGAGTTTTGAGAATGAGGACCAGAAGACCCATATAATGCTCAATTAGCTTTCCGGCAGTACATTATAGTTGTGGGGCAGGACTGTGTCAGCAGCCAGCTAACAGCTAAGTATCTTTCCAGGAGGAAGTGTTGGTGGTGGAGGGTGGATGGGTTGTTTGGCAGCATGAGCCAGATCTCCGTGTTCTCTTTATCCTCTATTTCTTTCTTCAAAAATTATTGCAATGAAAGAAGCTGATAATTACCCTACAGTTATCGTTATTTCTTAAATTGGGGAAAAAAAAGCCAACCTTCTCCAGCTGGATTGTACAAGTAACTGGGATTCTGTTTCTTCGTGTATTATCCAGCTCAGGATTTAAAGAAAATGCAATGCAACCAGCAGTAGACTGATCTGTGCTTTATTCAGCAGGCAAAGGAGATTAACATTGAATTTTCAAATAAAAGACCCTGCATATATGTCATGCATTGTCACATTCCCAGAATATTCCAATCCACTTTGCAGCCAATAAATTACTTTTTGGAATGCAGTTATTGTTGCTGGCTGGTGAATGAAGTGAATATGCACACAGCAATGCTCAACAAATAACAGATAAATGAAATGATTCAGAGAGGAAAGTTGTCAAGGATCTTGGCAGAATTCCCCATTTGCCTTTGAATAGTCTAATAGTGGCACTGGTAAAACAGCAACTCCAACAATAGATTGCGTTGTGAATGCAACTCAGTATTTGCTTTTTCTCAGAAGGGCAGCATAATCACAAACCCAGAAGAGAAAGATTGAATTAATTTGTTTCTTCTTTGCTTTTGTACGTTGTAGATTTACCAGAGATGCTGGCTTGTGTTGAAGAAGGCCTCCAGCAAAGGCCCAAAGCGACTGGAGAAGTTTTCAGATGAACGAGCTGCATATTTCCGATGCTATCATAAGGTAAGCTGGCTGTTGTCGAAAAGAAGTAAATGTGCAAAAGTTTTTTTTTTCCTGAAGAAGGGTTTAGGCCTGAAATGTCAGCCTTCCTGCTCCTCTGATGCTGCTTGGCCTGCTGTGTTCATCCAGCTCTACACCTTGTTATTGCAAAAGTAATAGGTTATTTTAGTTAATTGTTTTGCCTTTGTGATGACTTCCTTGAATACTGTTACTTTAATGAAATGAGACTTTCGTATGATAAAAGAGAATAATAACATAAGCTTAACCTGAACATTTCCTTGTTTAGCTTAACTAATTTGTTCCTGAAAATACGTAAGCAACATGAAAAGAATTTTGACATAGAAAAGCCTGTTAAAAAAACAATTTAGTTTACATTCCTGTCCCATACAGTATGTGCCCATTATCCTCCACACTGCTCATTACAAACCCTCCAGACACTGCTTGAAGCAACACGGCATGGAGGAGGCTGCCGGACTGTGAGTGTTTCTTTGTGTCCGGGAGCCAGGCTGAATTCTGGCTGCTGCATGACTTAGTGAAACCTAGTGGTGCCCACTCGCCCATTCCTAAATGACTTTCCTCCGTACCTGCACCAGGCCAAGTCTGCATTTTTTACCCAGCTTATAATCTGGTGATAGTGGCTGCCTAACTGAGTGAAAGGTGAGCAGGGGGTCAGATCCTGTTGGAAGATCAGCAGAAACAGGGGTATTTGTGAATCTGACCAAGCTGTTACAGTCGAAACTAGTATCTGCATCCTACTTAGCAACATGGTGGAGCAATACCAGCTTCCTAAACCTTCATTCACTTTATTCAATGTCATCACTACAAGTGACATTCCTAAGGACCATGAAACTGGATATTGTCACCCTGATGACTGCCTGTCTCCTGGCTGTGCTCCCAGTCCACATGTGGAACTGTCTCTGTTGGAAGGAAGAGAAGAAGTACTCACTTCTGTCTCTGAAATGAATACTTTGAAAAGCTCTCATTCTATATCCCACAAAGTGCGTCTGGGGTTTCACATTTATTTCATTCTCAATTTACAGAAAATGAGCTGTGAAGGCTGAAAATGGTAAATAGGAATTCTGAACTTGATTTGCATTGAAACTGAAACTATTTTTGCACACTTCTAACTGTAACAACCACAGTAAATCAAAAATCAAAGTTATGGTCAACGGTGCTATTTGGGCAATATTCCTAGTCTTAACACTATGCTAAGGTGAAAACTTAGGTGAGAGATGTTTTATTCAACCTAAATGAATGGAATTATTGAGGGCAGTAATTCATGTTGGCAGTAACAAGAGACAGTTTTCTCTTAAAAACCAAAAGAACTGCGGATGCTGGAAATCAGAAAAAAAGAATAGAAATTGCTGGGAAGGCTCAGGAGGTCTGGCAGCAACTGTGGAGAGAAGACAGAGTTAACATTTTGGGTCCAGTGACCCTTCCTCAGAACAATTTACTCTTCCGGTCTTATTCAAGCATCGTTCATTTTTTTTTCTCAATGTGAATAGTAAATATTTACAGGCTACTCATGATAGAATGCAATAGAATTGAAACCAACCAACCTTCATCTGGGCAGGCATTCATGCATATACATCTTTTACTTAAGCAACTTAATAAAAATGTGTTTTTATTGTGTTCAATCCAGAGTATGTGTGGACTTTGTAGCCTCTTTCATCTGTAATTTTGCAACAGATTAGCGTATTTTTCTACTAAGCTTCACTCTAGGAAGGGCAGATAGGGACAGAGAGAAAGAGTTTAGATATGATCCTGTTTTTACATTGACATTGTTGCGGATGGCATTTTTAGGATTATAGTGAACATAAGCTTCCACTTTAAATGGTCCTTTTCAGACAATAAATCTCAAACTGCTTGGCATGTGCACTAAGTATACTGGGAGTTGGCCATTTAAAATAGAGATGTACGGTTTTGCAAGAGTTATCCAGAAACATCAAACAACCTGAAGTAAAAATCCAATTGTTATAACTAGATGAACAAAATAAATTCTACATTGTTTTTTAAAATGCATTGAATCAAATGACAAAACTTAATAGCTTATTTCAGTAATGAGTTTACCAAATGTTTCTCAATGTCCCTGATTAGAAAATGAACTAACTGAAGAGTGGCATCTGGTCTGAAAAACATTTGAAATAACTGTCTTAATTTTCCATAATGTTTTGTCATCTAGAATATAACAGTTTAAATACCTTAATACTTGGTTATATTTTCTATTATTTCTATTTATTCCAACATCTAATGCCCCCTTACCCCCTCCTCCATTGCTGAAAACACTTCCAGAATGCCTTTATTGGAAGGCACAGTGAAAATCATCTGACTTGTTACAGATGAGGCCAGAGTGTGGAACTCCCTGACACAAATGGCTGTGTTTCACGTGAGATAGTACATTTTCTTACTGTGCCACAATACAAAGAGGTACCACCTCATTTCAGCTGTACAAAGTATTTCCATTCCTTCCTCACACCAAGGTGATTCATTCGCTATTTTAATCAAATTTCCCTGATGGTAACATTGGGCCTCAGTGACTAAATAACTTTTTGAAACAAAATGCAAATTTCAAAATTAATAATTACATGCAGTCACTTGATTTAATTAAAGAAACATCAATCAAATTTCCATAGAATTTGTAATGCACAAGCTGCAGTGGTTTCCATGTCCTAATGTCAGACCACCTCTGGGTGCGTCTAGCTCCTAAGTTATTGGTTATTAACGTGGATGGACTGCTGGACAAAAATGGTTAAAGTAATGGTAGCATTATTGAGATAGAGGAATCAGATCTTCATGTTGTACAGCTTGGCCACATTCCATGTTGACAACAGTCTCAATATGAATGACAATTATACATGCTTTCAGCAGTTTCTATTTAGCATGCAGCCAGTGAAGGCAATTTGAATCCAATAAAACTTCTGAGTCATGTACAAGATCATCTTCAGTTACTCATAAGCAAACAGCTTTCAGAAAGCTACCTTTCGCTGAACCTGGGAAAGATTTTTTAATTCCAGTCAGATTATAAAAGGTGAACTGTTGTGTACTGAGTTTTATTGAATGCAATTACTGAATTGCAGCTTGTGGTATTTTTCTTTTCTGACATCTTTTCTGACTTTGAACCTGTGACAGTACCACTCCTGTTCCAAGAAAGTCAGTGTCAGTTTCCAGGATAGAAAGGAGTTGGACTCCCTTGTAGTAAAGGAGATGTGCTGAGACATGTTTCTGCTCGAAGATCTAAAAGGAGCTTTCATATACCGGGCTCCGACTCCCTGTGATGCTGCATGAAATATCACGCCTTGCACATCCTTTTCTACCCAGTCTTTCAGCATTGTCTGATTTACTTAGCAAGTCATGGAATGGGGAATTCAACTGTGCATAGCCTGACACAAACCTCCTATGGTAACCAGTTAGAATAATTGAATTTTATCAATCGAACTCCATGAAAAAAACCTCTTAAAAACTAGATTCCCATCTATCGCTGCATGACTAAATGTGTGTTACCTTGGTGATATAAGATAGTAAGTGAGATATGTCACTGAATTTATGTCTATGGTTTCTTGACTAGAATTAGAATTAGGTTTATTGTCATATGTACTCAACTACAGGGATACATGAGTACAGCGAAAAGTGTACAGTCTACATTTCTGGTGCCATCTTATATACAAAGATACCTAGGTACAAAATCTTAGGCATAAATTAGAAAAATAAAGAGATAAAAGTAAACATTTAGTATTACAGGCTTTTTAAAGCTGGGAGTCCACACTAGGATTCACCTTGAGGTTGGGAGTCCATTCTGGGCTGCCTGGGTTACATTGTTGACCAAAGAATTTATGCTTTGAACATCTTTCTGTAGGTTAGTTGATACATTACTTTCTTGATCAATATCTAATACTATTGAAAGCTATTTGTTTTCATTGTTTTCCATAAGATGCACACCCAAGGTCTTGTTTAAAGATTGGCATCACTACAAATGAAGGTAGAACAAAATCATTCCACTGTAGCTTCTGCTTAGAACATGGATTTTCAGAAAAAAAAGTCACATTGTTAATCATCAGTTGAGAAATTAAGTTACTCAATCTCACTTTTATTTTCATTGCAAAATATTTTTTTTTTTAAAGTTGCTTTCTTGTGATTGAGATTTGATCTTGGCCTCATTGATGTCTTTGTGGGTATGTCAACTACAAAAACATGGTTATGCTCTTGTGGTTTTCTTTCACAGGTTGTGGGCATTGCTGTCTAGGCCAGTACTTATTAACCATTCTTAATTTTGCTTCAGTAGTTAATGGTAAACTGCCTTCTTGAGCCATATCAGTCAAAGTGATTTAGAGACACGCTGGGCTGTTAGGAAGGGAGGTCCAGCATTTTCATCCAGTGACAGTGAAGGAATGACAACATAATTCTAAGTCAGGATGGTGTGTGACCTGAAGGAGAATTTGTAGATGAGGATGTTCCGTTGCATCTATTCCTCTTGTCCTTCCAGGTAGCAGAGGTTTGGAATGTAATATTGACTGAGAGATTGAGATTCTGCAGTGTATTTTAGAGATAGCATACACTGCTGTCACTGTGCGTTAGTGGTAAAGGAATCAAATATTCAAGGTGATGAATGGGGTGACAATCAAGTAAGCTGTTTTGTCCTGAATGGTGTCAGGTTTCTTGAGAGATGTTGGAGCTGCACTCATTCAGGCAGGTGGGGAATATTCCATCACATTCCTGACTTGTCTTGTAGATAGTGGTTGAGCTTTGAGAAGTCAGAGGTGAGTTACTCACTGTAGAATCCCTCATTTGTGACTTGTTCTTTTTAACCATAATATTTTTATGTTGGTTTAGTTCAGTTTTTGGCAAAAGTCACTCCCAGCATGTTGATAATAGGGAATACAGTGATGGTCATGTCATTGAGAGACTGCTCCAGTGAGGCTCAATGCGAGTTGGAGGAACAACACCTTATCTTCTGCCTTGGTCCCTTTATAGCCTTTAGGGCTCAACAATAGGTTTGACAGTTTCAG